CACACACACACACACACACACACAAATAGGTCGCAAATAATACTTACCTAGTACTATTAGGCAAGAGTGAATAGGTTTTTGTTAAGTCAATGCAATTCACCATTTTAGGCTACATAACCACTTACCGATGGGATTGTAGGTGCTTTACTACTTGCTGGGTAAAATATTAAAAAAAATTACCCTGTGAAAATTTACATTTAGATATAACTTTTCTAACCAACCATAAATATGATGAGAATATGTATATAAGTATAAAGGTTGTCTCACACGGGACAGTAATAATATAATATTATATCTTCCCTTATCTACGCATGAAAACTTTTAAAATCTCTGAATCCCGATGTATGTCCGTATTAAGAGGCTGAATAGAGCCACATTGATACGCATGGCGATAGTTTTGTAATTTCACGTCGTTATCGAAACAAAGTTGTACGTATTTCAGGAGGCGTTTTGCAAAACACGATTCCACAAAAATTCACTCAATAGAAAATAATTGCAAAGTTGCTTCTGAAAATACTTAAATTTTCAACGTCAATTTTTTCTTTCGTGGTAGAGCCATGCTGCAGCTATATTAGTAGTAGGTATAGTTGTAGCACGAATGGGTCGGCTCGACCGGGGAAGGGCCACGCTCTCACAGAATGCCATGTAAAATAGCAGTTTAACCCTGCTGTGTTTCGTATGGTGAGTGTAGAGAACCGGAGAACCTTTTTACTGGAAACGAGGCATTGCATCTTAGTCCTCACGGGTGACAACGCATCTACATTTTGATTCGTCATCGAGGATACATCTAGATGTCTATGGGCCACAGCAACCGCTTACGATCGGGTGGACTGTGTGCTCATTTGTTACCCTTATTCTATTAAAAAAAAACTTTCTGAGATTTCAGTAAAATAATGTTAAGTATTGTAAGCACTCGTACAATTATGTGTCTCATGTTAATAAAGCTATTTCTAATAAAGTGATTTTACTTTATAGGTTAAATAATTTATTTACCCTTCTATATCAAGAACCGTTTTTTATCTGTCACTCCTATTGAACTTGACAGTGTTTGCTGAAATTTAGCATCTTTAGATGGATCAGAATCGCGCGCTGATCCGGCTGTTAGACATTGCAAAAATAATCGAAAATATTTATTTTTACTTTCATGCCGAAGACTACCTTGTTTTATTTTATTACGGTCAAATAATATTTATTAGGTTATAAAGCAAGTATTTACAAATATTTTCATTATTTTGTTATTCTATTGTTTACAGTTATTATCACGTCTTAGCTTTACACCAAGAATTACATTAGAAATTCTTGATGGGATGCGATGTAACGCGCATACTTTATTTTCATCAAGAACTATATTATATATATATTTGTTTTTTTTTACCAGTAGAGTTTCAACACAATCTTAAAAAGGTTCAATGAATTAAAAAATGCCGATAATTATATAATTTCAAGTCAGTGTTTTACATTTAAAGATCAGTTATAAAGAGCCAAAGTTCTTATTTTCAATTTGATTAATTTAATTCGAGACTAAAATAAATGTGAAAGGGCTTTTATCTGCATTAATAATTTTCATCAAAAGTAACATAGACTTATAAAAGTCATATACATGGTCAATCATACTGAAGATTATCAATTGTACTACAAAATATTTAAAAGACTATTTCCAGTATAATGACCCGAATATCATCATTAATGTTTGACTGGCACACTTATAAGTTTTATCACATGGCGAAATGATTGACTATTATATTATGATAAGGTCATGCTTTTCTATAAAAAGTTGCAAGAAATTTATTAATCACGGACCTATTGGTTTGTTTTACTTTTCACTTTTTTGTTGTGTATAAAGTGCTATTTAGAATTTTATGCAAATGATAATTAAATTTTCTATGTAAATAAGTGTAACATTGCGGGTATTATATTCAATGGTAGCGGCCATCCATATTTGCAAAGTCAGCGTCATTTTCTGTACAGAAACCGGCAAAGTGTTGCTCAAGGCACTATAAACAAAGCAGCTGATAAAAATGTTACACTCATAACTGTTAACAAAAACTGTTTCTGCAAATGGTCTTATAGATAATAATAACTATTCCGCCGTGTTAGGTGCAGGAGCTATTATTAGAAGGAGAAGAGGTAAAATTTTGTTTTAGAAATGCGCAATCAATACTGTTTTGTCTGCAATTGAGCATAAAATAAAAAAATAACTGCAGCCAAAGAACACAACTGGCATTATACTCAGGTCCATCAAAAAATCAATCAATATTCAAATAAACATTAATTTTAAAATCAAAAAATGTATCTATGTACGTCTATACATACATATAATGATTTATGGCCGCTTAGTAACTGACGGTGACTCAGTATAACATCCTAAAGTCACGCCGAAACTAAGAGGAGAGAATCACTGTAGAAAAGCTAATAATTTATTGCGAACATTTTGTGATAAAATTAAAAAATTACAAACTTATCCAAGTTAATCTAAGTTAGTCTAACTTATCTTTATGCGTTACAAAAAAAAAATAGTGAGATGGCGTCAGTTTTTAAGAAAATATATATCAAAAATAAACAAAAAAATAAATTTCAAAAAGTTCAGTATTTAATTGATTATATACCGCTGACACTTAATCACACTTTTCGAAACCACGCCAGTTGTAAACAATACTTGTGTGAAAAGACAAAATCTTCTTTTCAAATTTCCACCGAGTTGTAAGTAGAAGGCCAAATAGGTCATGTGTCAATTTTAATTAAATATATTTTATATGAAGTGATCTTGACTACGTTTCATCAATTAACCATTGGAAAAGTTAAAACAGGAATTTTAAAATTGTGTTTACAAGAAATATTATTAGTTGAACCTTGCAGCTTATTCATTATTTTTATTATAAATACCTATAAATGTATATATTATTAATAAATAGGTCTCATAATATTTTGTATTATTTTTTATTTAGCCCTATCTGCAATGTTCGACGCTCTATAGAAAATGTGGCGTATGACATGACTGACAATCTCTCGAACGTTTTATCTAGATACAAAGATGTTTTACGTTTTCGTCGCCTCCATATGATATTTTTGTTAGTATAAGGTACCCTTCTGTATCTGAAACGGATATGAATATTGCTACAAAGTAAAGTAATAGGCTATACAAGTCCCTCTACTGGGCACAGGACTCTTTTTTATTTCTGAGAGGGTTTTAGGGCAAGGAAATGTCCGCCGCGCTGCTCCAATGCTTGTTGACGAAAATTGCAATTACAAATTTCATTCGTGCTGTCGGGGATCAAACCCGGGAAAAATTTACAGCGAACGCTCTGACCCAGATCTACTAATACGACACAAATAAACAAGATTTAACATATATAATAAAAAAAAAACTCTTACGTACTTGAAAGTTGAACACTTGGTAGCTCATGACGCGTACCGGACAAAGCTACAGCACAATGTAATTGAAGATGCGTAACCGCGACATAATTCTCAGTGATGCGCAAGCATAACAGGCAGTATGTCACTTATACAATTGTCATCTCTGCAGTCTATTAATCTTTGCACTTTTATAAGTAATACAGAACGTAGTTGCTAGACGGTGTTGATGTCGGCTAAAATCTCTGCGATCGCCGTTTCGTCTAGTTAAAGCCTTAAATCGCATAGTACTATTCAGCAACTTACGCGTGGCCATATATGGACTACTAAGATAAGTAGTTTGTATGAGGAAAATGCTTAATAAAACGACATTGTCTAACTTTGATTTTATTAAAATTGAACGTATTAATCTAAATAAAACCGAAATAACCAAATCGTTAATTACATGTACCATCTAAAGCGTTACAATTGTTATAAATAATTATTTTTGTTATAACCAGACTAGCAGTGCAATGGTGTAACTATCGTTATCGAATCGTTTCCCGGCGGGAATCACCCCGCAACCGCTTCGTTTCTTTATTATGATAATATTTGGTAATCTAAACACTTAATATTATGAGCACCTAATTAAATTTAATGAAAAAAGTGTAATGGATTAAATTTAAAAACATTTCAATATAATTGCTGCCGAGTCGACTCTAAGATATAGTGTGTATGTGGAAATTATAATTTTTTTGTTTTTGAAATCGGTTTTAGTTCTTTTAAAAGTTTAATTATTTTACCCATTTCTATGGACTAAGGAGTATCACAATTTCAAGATAACAGCTAGAATGTCATCTATATATGTAAATAGTCACTTTAATACCTTCATCCCCTATTTTGTCACCATTGGGGGTGAAAAGTTTTCTTAAAATTTATATGGGACTACACCTAACGTATAACTTATTAAATAAAAAGATAAATTAATAAGATTGGTTCAGACCTTTTCCGGGAAATCGGTGAACATACATACATAAAAAAATCTATGCGTCGAATATACAGGGTTATTTTGCAATAACCGGCGAAATTTGCAGAAAAGGTTCAGTATGAGTAATACTTATAAGCAAAATGGTAAAAAAAAATTAATTAAAAAGCATGTCAAACATTCTGTCTCTTTTATCTTTTGAATTCAAAATCCGTGGTGCTATATTATTTTTACATTCGTAATGGTCGATCGGTAGGCGAAAACGTTGCTCCTAACTCACATTCAATTTGGGATAATTTCAAATAAGTACCTAAAAGTAGAATCTTATGTACTCGTGTTTTCAAAAACTGCAATAATGGTATATCATTATTAATACATTTGAACTTAAGTTTAGGCTACTCTTTGAAAAATAACCATGTAGGTACCTATTTATTTTTAGTTATAACCTTCTCCTTCTTGGAATTCATTTAAAAAGATTTTTATATAATTAACACTAATACAATTAATTTTAATAGTATTAGTGTTAATTATTTTATTTTATAATATATTTTAACTGTTAACACTGATGCATTTACACAATTCAGGAAAACAATTGAAATGTCAAAACGAAGCAAACCACGATTCCTATCAGAGTTACACAATCGCACTGTACTCGTAGTTTTAAGATAAATTACCGCATCTATAATTATCCGATCACACCTCTATTCTCTATAACTGATTTAATAAGGCTGGGTGAGGCTTGCTTCATATCGTAGGCCCAACCTATTTTGGCAAACAAGTTCAGGATGGTCGTGGTGATGTTGTTGACATACGCCAGCTCTGACGCTTTGTAGTCCCATGGAAAGGTATGGTGATAGTTGTGCCATCCTTCGCCCATTGCTACAGCGGATACGCCCCAATTTTCCGCAGGCATTATGTGTCTAAAATAAATAAGGTGTTTATTTAGTTCACAGGATAGTTGCAAATTATATATAATCTTAAAGATACGAAAAAACATAAAATATTTTATAAATAAAGAACTTATTTTATACTATTGAGATTCTAGAAATCCGTTTGGTTACGTGATAGTCTATTACATATTTCTGTTGTCAAGCAGCAGCCACTAATTTGCTCCGGTTTGAAGAATAAGTATGAGGAGTCAGTAGCGTTTGTTTGAAATTGGTTGAAAATGTCTAAGGGCTACATTGACAATTTATCACCAAGTGGATTGTGTATATTCTAGATAAATTTTATGTGTTTTGTTATTGTTAATTATATAATTTCATTTACGGCGGTCAGTGTCAACCGAGAAAAACTATCTGCGCAGGACAGGATAATAGTCCACGTGTGATATGCGCAAATACGTGACAGCAACCCGATGCGACCGGCCGGTTTTACGTGTTTTTCACGGCACCGGATTGAAACACCAACTTACTGATTTTCTTTTCAGAAAATCCCAATAATTGATTTTTAGCCCGACGTATGATTTCAAATCCGGGACACCGTTAACAACAGTTGCGCTTATAATCACTAGAACAAAGAAGTTATGTTATAATTGTAGTGTTACCCATACAATCCATTTGATTAGTATATTGTAAAGGTCCAATTAGAGGCATTAACTAGCTAACCAGCTACACGTCTAGAAGGCGGTGCGCTGCGACAATGCAATTGCACTGCCACGGCCTACAATGCAATGAAAATGAAAGAAGAATATTATAATAATAGGAGATTTTGAAGACGTCTATTAGAAATAAAAAGCACAAAGCGGACGAGTAATGCACCCAGTGTCAAACAGGCGATTATGAAAAATCTTGCTTCCATTGACAGCGATCTTTATAAAAAAAAAACTTAATAAGGGAGACAAACGAGCACACATACCACCTGATGGTAAATCAATGCTGTAGCCCATTGACATCTCACTTATCCTCATTTAAGAATCAAAACGCGGATGCGTTGTTACCCCTGAGGACTGAGATGGAATGCTTCTTTTACAGTAAAATGGGTCTCCGGTTTTTACACTCACTATACGAAACACAGAGGCATTAAGCTGCTATTTTACGCTGGTATTCTGTGAAAGCGTGGTCCCTTTCTGATCGAGCCGACCCATTCGTGCTACAACCATAATATAGCTGCAGCGTGGCTGTACCACGCATAATCATAACTGCTCTGCATATTTATAAGCTCGCACCCTTTTATGTTGACTCGACTATATTAATCAAATCGTTTAAGGATTCATTCTGTTATATCTTATTGATAAATTTTATACTCTACCACCTTATACAAAAAATCAAGTCACTATTAACTAGCAACTGCCGAAGTGATATATCATTGTTCGTACTACTTAAGTCTAACGTAAACAAATTATTAGTTCTGTTACTCTGTGTAGCTTTAAAGTACTATAAATTTAACACAATTGGGTACATATTTGATTTTGATTAATGGCTGTAAATAATTTGTACTGTTATTATCAGAATGTTCGTGGTCTTAGGACTAAATGTCTTGAATTACGACTAAATATTTTGACGAACGATTACGACATTATAATTATGACAGAATCATGGCTACACAGTGGAATTTTTGATGGTGAGTTGTGCGACGATAGATATGACGTGTTCAGGGTTGACAGAGATTTGCGTAATAGTGGTAAAAGTACTGGTGGTGGAGTATTAATACTGACACGACGTACACTACCATCTCGAGACGGCGAAGCCGGCCTTGCTCTTTCTGACCGAGACGCAGGTTTCCTCTCCGGCTGATATTTCGTATCTCTCCTGCCCGGGGTACAAATTGGAGCACTCCTTTGTGCCTCGGGCTGGAGTTTGCGTGTATGTCAGAGAGGACATCTGTTCTCGACGCCTCGGCAGTCTTGAAGGTTCGGACCTGTCCATCCTTTGGCTACGCGTAGACAGCGACGACCATCCGCGCGTCTACGGGTGCCTCTATAGGTCCCATAGCGGTAATGCCGAAACAGACCGACTCATCGACCACGTCCAAATGGCTACAGATTCCTTGCTACAACAGGTCCCATCCGCAGAGATCGTGATCCTTGGCGATTTTAACGCCCACCATGCAGAATGGCTCGGTTCACGTTTAACCGATCATGCGGGGAGATCTGTTTATGACTTTGCTTTGGCATATGGTCTGACACAACTGGTTACTTCGCCTACGCGGATTCCAGATGTGGAGGATCATACACCTTCCCTGTTGGACCTTCTGCTGACCTCTCATCCGGACAGATATCAGGTTTCCGTCGATGCCCCTCTCGGCTCTTCGGACCATTGTCTGATCCGGAGTATGGTGCCACTCACGCTCCCTTCGCGGTTGCGTTCTGCAGGTTGCCGCCGTGTTTGGCATTACAGGTCGGCAGATTGGGACGGAATGCGGTCTTTCTTTGCATCCTACCCATGGGGGCGGGTTTGCTTCTCGCCGGATGATCCCAGCGCTGTTGCTGACTCTGTCACTGATGTGGTGCTACAGGGAATGGAACTATTTATTCCATCATCTGTGGTACCCATCGGAGGCAGATCTCAGCCTTGGTTTGGTCGCTCCTGTAAGACTGCATTGCGCAGAAAGCAGGAGTGTTATCAAGCCTGGGCTGCGGCTTCGGTGACTCGGGATGTAAACACCAGCACACTTAAAAAGAAGTATAACTTCGCCTCCAGGTCCTTCAAAAGAGTTATTGCCAAGGCAAAGTCAGAGCACATAGGCAGAATTGGCGAGAAACTAGTTCGCCTTCCTTCGGGAACCCGTGCATTCTGGTCTCTCGCCAAGGCTGTCCAAGGGAATTTCTGTAAGCCATCACTACCATCTCTGCACAGGGAGGACGACTCACTGGCCCACGACGCAAAAGAGAAGGCCGACCTTTTAGGCTCCCTTTTTGCGTCCAACTCGACTGTTGATGACGGGGGGAACACACCGCCGACCATCCCGCGGTGTGAGTGCTCTATGCCGGATGTGCTATTCTCACAGCGCTTGGTTCGCAGAGCACTCCTCTCCCTTGACATCCACAAGTCGAGTGGGCCTGACGGAATCCCCCCAATTGTGCTGAGGACGTGTGCTCCGGAGTTGGCACCGGTTCTAACGCGTCTTTTCCGGTACTCCTACTCCCATGGCGTTGTCCCGAACTCATGGAAGACAGCTTTTGTCCACCCGATCCCTAAAAAAGGCGACCGCTCAGACCCGTCCAACTATAGGCCTATCGCGATCACCTCCTTGTTCTCCAAAATAATGGAATCCATTATTAACTGCCAGCTCATCCGGTACCTTGAGGATCACCAGCTGATCAGTGACCGCCAATACGGTTTTCGTCGGGGTCGATCAGCTGGTGATCTTCTAGTCTACCTGACCCATAGATGGGCGGAGGCAGTGGAGTCCAAGGGGGAGGCGTTGGCCGTTAGTCTGGACATTGCGAAGGCCTTCGATCGGGTTTGGCACAAAGCGCTTCTTTCGAAGCTCCCTTCCTATGGGCTTCCCGAGAAATTGTGCAATTGGATCACCAGCTTCCTTGCAGATCGGAGCATCAAGGTCGTTGTAGACGGTGCATGTTCTGACTACAAGCCTATTAACGCTGGTGTTCCACAAGGCTGTGTGCTATCACCAACGCTGTTTCTTCTGCATATCAATGATATGTTGCTAACTGGTAACATTCATTGCTATGCGGATGACAGCACTGGTGATGCTCTATACACCGGCCGGGCCAATATTTCTCGGGAAAACGTCGCCGAGTACCGGAACAAACTTGTGTCTGAAGTCGAGTCTTTGCTGGACAAAGTCTCGGATTGGGGGCGACTAAATCTAGTCCAGTTTAATCCTCAGAAGACACAAGTTTGCGCGTTTACCGCTAAAAAGAACCCCTTTGTCGTATCTCCTCAGTTTCAAGGCACTCCCCTTCTTGCCTCAGCCAGTATCGGTATCCTCGGAGTCGACATATCGAGTGACGTGCAGTTTCGTGGTCACTTGGAAGAGAAGGCCAAATTGGCCTCTAAAAAGCTTGGCGTGCTCAGCAGAGCGGGACAGTATTTCATGCCGGCACACCGCCTGCAACTTTACAAGGCGCAGGTTCGGCCTCACATGGAATACTGTTCCCATCTCTGGGCAGGGGCTCCCCAGTGCCAGCTCCTTCCACTTGACCGCATCCAGCGCAGAGCGGCTCGAATCGTCGACGACCGAGCCCTTTCCGATCGGCTCGATTCATTGGCACTGCGAAGAGATGTTGCATCTCTTTGCATTTTCTTTCGCATCTACCATGGGGAGTGCTCTGAGGAATTGTTCGGATTAATCCCAGCCGCCAAATTTCATGAACGCACATCGCGGCAGAACTCCCGATACCATCCACACCATCTGGATGATTGGCGGTCCACCACTGTGCGATTTAGAAGATGTTTTCTTCCTCGCACGACTTCCTTGTGGAATCGATTACCATCAGCGATTTTTCCGGACCGATACGACTTAGGGACCTTCAAGAAAAGAGCCTACTCCTTTTTAAAAGGCCGGCAACGCATCTGCAATTCCCCTGGTGTTGCGGTTGTTCATGGGCGGCGGTAGTCACTTACCATCAGGTGAGCCGCATGCTCGTTTGCCCCCTCTCCTATAAAAAAAAAAAAAAAAAAAAACACTCGGTGCCATGTATCGTGACCTCGGCGTATGCGGTCTTACTGAGCTATTGTGGATTACTATTCCTTCAAGCGCGTGCGCTTCAAATTCCAACTTACATATTTGTGTGGCATATATTGCCCCTGACCCTCATCAAATGCCATCGGATCTCGATTTTATTAAACAAAAAATTAATAGTATTATCGAGCTTTCTCCAAATGATAATTTTGTAATATTAGGAGATTTCAACTTGCCGTTCATTTCTTGGAACCCAAACGGATATACAGCTTTGAAAAAAGGGCCTACTGAGGTACAAGAAGCGAGTATCCAGCTGATGGAAACACTAACATTTCACGGGTTAAGACAATTTAATACTTTAAAAAATCATGCTGGTAACACATTAGATCTTGCATTCTCTAATCTACCTCTGAATATCATCCCTGCGGCTGCGCCGCTACTCAGGGAGGACCACGCACATCCTTCTTTTTGCTTCATAGTTTTGGATTTAAACATTACTCCTCTAAGGGAAACAGCTGCGCCGAGGCAAAATTTCAGGAGGGCTGATTATGAAAAAATTAATACATATCTTTTAGAACAGGACTGGAGGTCTCTTTTATGTACAGGCACTGTAGACGAAGCTACAAATACCTTTTATAACATACTGGATAGTTGTGTTCGTTTACATGTGCCTTTTAGTTATAACACAGGGAAGCGATCATATCCTAAATGGTACACACCTGCTTTAATAAAAATAATTAAGGAGAAAAACAATGCTCACACACGTTGGAAAAAATTCAGGAATAGATTAGATTACGATGAGTTTTCGTTACTCCGAGCAAGAGAACACCGTGTTCAGAGAGAATGCTTTAATAAATTTACGTCAAGTTGTGAAAATAGCATCAAAACACATCTTAAAACATTCTGGACTTTCGTCAAAGCCATTCGGGGTGGGTCAGGTTACCCTAAGAAAATGTCTTTGAAAGATATAGAGTACACCGATGGTATAGACATATGCAATGCTTTCAACTCATTCTTCAAGAGTGTATTTGGTATTCCTAGTAATAACTACATATATCCACATACGGAATCGTTGTGTACTGACACCGTTTCTAATGTACAGACAAACGCTGCAATAATTGAAAAAATGTTGAAAACTTTGGACACGAACAAAGGTGCCGGTAGTGATGGGTTACCTTCTTTTTTTTGGTCACGATGCGCTAAATCACTTGCTCTCCCCTTGACTATTATATTTAATCGCTCTCTACGTGAAGGGATATTTCCGCATCAATGGATGTGTGCACACATAATCCCTGTACACAAGAAGGGATCACGTACAGAAATAAATAATTATAGAGGCATTTCTATTTTGAACACCGCGGCTAAAATCCTTGAACGAGTAGTATATAACGTAATATACTCCACGCTTTTACGTGCCTTCCCTGAGCAGCAACATGGTTTTTTACAAAGGCGATCCACCACTACGAACCTGGCAAGTTTTTCTTCTTTTGTCCTTGAAAATATGGATCAAGGTGGACAGGTTGATGTGATCTACACTGATTTTGAAAAAGCTTTCGATCGTGTGGATCACATGATCCTGCTCAACAAATTACAAATATTAGGGAATCACGGTGACTTGCTCCGATGGACTGAATCATATCTCACAAACCGCTCACAAGCAGTCGTGATAGGTGGTTTCCGTTCGAGCTACATCAACATACCTACAGGTGTTCCTCAGGGCTCTCACTTAGGTCCACTTTTTTACAATGCCTACCTATATGACATTGGTTCGTGCATTATACACACAAATTACCTCATGTATGCAGATGATAAGAAGATTTTTTGTAAAATTAACACCATACATGACTGCCTATTGATACAAAAAGACCTGGACCGTTTATTTGAATATTACAAAATAAATAATATAACTGTCAATGCAAGCAAGTGGGAATGTATTAGTTTTACACGGAAATCTAAGCCAATTCTAAATAAATATCACTTTGACGGATTAGAAATCAGCCGAAAAGTAAGTGTTAGGGATTTAGGCGTAATTTTTGATCATAAAATGATACTATCCGAACACATTGATTACGTTATCAGTAAAGCCTATAAAAATCTTGGTTTTGTTCTTCGCATCTGTAAACCATTCTCGAATATTAATACAATTAAAATGGTTTATTTTGCATATGTCAGAAGTGTTTTGGAATATGCTAGTTCAATATGGTCTCCACAGTGCAATGTCTACAAAAGCCGCCTTGAGCGTATTCAAAAAATATTTGTTAATCACCTTAACTTTCGCTGTCGGAATAAAATCGATACTTACACAGACAGTTGCACTGAGCACGATCTCTTATCTCTGAAACACAGGCGCATTTTGCTTGACATGGCTTTGTTATATGATATAATAAACAGTAATATTGACTGTCCATATCTTGTCTCAAGAATCACCTTTCGTACTCCAAAATTCCGTACCCGCAATACTACATTGTTACAAACTCCCTGGCATCATTCAAACTACTGTCGAAACACTGTTCTTTCGCGGCTTGCTCGTACATATAATGAACAATTTGGACACATTGACCTCTTTGCGAAATCTAAACTTACGTTTAAAGATTACATCAAGAAAACTATTACGAAATAGAGCAGTTGAAGTTAAAATCACATACAATCATATATTCTCTCATCTATTTCTTCTATATGTATTTTTGAGGCTACTAATATAAATATAAGTACTTAAGTTATTTTATTTAATATATATTATAATTAATTATTTGTATTATGTTTATATATTTAAACATTTAATATGTATATATACATAAGTAATAATATATGTATATATATATATATATATATATATATATATATATATATATATATATATCTTATATGTTTATATATATATATTTATATATATATAAAGGTAATGTAATATATCATTCTACCAGAGATAGTCATCTCTCCTGATCTGTAAACTTATGACCACCTTCATTACATTGAATTGCTTATAATTTTGCTTATAATTTATCTATTAGATTGTTCTTTTTCCTTTTCTTCTAACAACAATACACCTACCATCAAACAATATAAGGGAAACCTGTTATTGGCCATACTTTTAGTTTGTTACATTAATGTTAATATTTTCTATATACGCTGTTGGTTTTCTAAATAAATAAATAAATAAATAAATAAATGTCATGTTCTACCATATCGTCATCCATGTTTATCAATTACACACTGATACTATTCGTGCGAGGTACTGCACGTTGTCTGTAATAAATGACATAAAGCCAAATATTGGACTCCTATCAAATAATTAAAGTTTAGGTGCAATTTGAGGTTAAGCTATTTTACTCAAATTTAACAAAAATCATGTAACTTTTGAATCAATGATTATGTATGGGGACTAAATTTTTTTTGTGGTAGAGCCATACTGCAGCTGAATTATGGTTGCAGCACGATTGGGTCTGCTTGACCAGAGAAGAACCACGTTCTGATAGAATACCAGTGTTAAAAAGCAGCATAATGCTGCTGTGTTTCGTACTTATCAGTCGTTACATCTTAGTCACCAGTGATGAAAACGCATCTGCATTTTGATCTTAATTGACGATGGTGGTACATATAACCGTCTATCGGCTACATCAATAATTCTCTATCAGGTCGACTTGGTTGTCAGTTACCAAGCTTGCTTATGTATATACCTATAAAAATATTAAAAGTTCTCCATCGCTCTGCTGTGAATGATTCAGACTATATACTGATGGTATCGTAAGTACATATACTACTTACTTACGAGTGTAAAAATTAATAGAAATAATATATTTTGCTGAAATAGGTGTCACAACGTTCTTTGTTATTAATTTCTAGCGCGTTTCTTTAGTATGATAAAAACCTTATTTAATATTTTTTTAGATTTATTAATAAAAAAATAAATGTACCTATCGTAAGGCTTATTTCCCCATATGTGAGCGAAGCTGTTGACGGACCAGGTAAAGTTAAGACTCAACACATATCTTAACAGTGGTTGTGATAGTATGGCGCTTTCCCAGTTATCCTCCCACACATAGACAGGTACAAGGGTTGGCAGCAGAAAGCAGAAGAAAATTTTAAAAAGATTAAAGTATCTGAAACAAACACGTTTTTGAAAAATATCTAATCAAAAAAGACATTTTACAATAAATATACGAATTATGCTTCTCTAAGCCAGATAAATCAGTTAATTCGTTATTGTTTAATACTTATTGCGATTCAGTTGCTTGTATTTATTTTTCTCATTGACCGTCGTTGCAATACTTTAAACTCCTCGTGTTTTAACAAATTCTACGATATATTAGATTAGATAACATTTTTCTTTTGAGGAAAACATAATTAGGGGTTTTAAATAACCTCCACAATTTATTTATTAAGACTATAAGATATAGAAAATAAGAAAATATTTAAATTATAACATTAGAAAATTATTAAAGACTTGCATATTTCTTAATAGCATCAATTTCATTCAAAATAACAAAAAAAGAAACGTAGTAATTACGGCGTTTGGCTTCACTAAAGACATGTATCTTATTACTTGATGTAGAATAAGATTATAAGATTTTTTTTTAAAAGTATGCTTAAAAAATAAAAAGAAATATATATATATAGCTTCTGAAGACATTGCTAAGCTGCTGAGATAAAGAGTACTGAAAAATTAAAGCCTAACGATAGCTGTATAATATCATAATAACGTGAAAATTACTTTTAACCTAATTCTTTAAAATCGATTTTTACTATTTATTAAACGTTAACTTTTAGACTATTTTAATTGGACTAGGGAATATCACAAGTTCATCGCCAAAAGTATTAACTATTTAATGACAAAAGTTGCATTTCTTATCGGTTTAGAATTGATGGAGATATCGTGTATAATACAAAAAAAGCATACAGTGGCATTGAGAACCTCCTGCTTTCTTGAAGTTGGCTGAAAAGCACTTAAACATATCTAATTTAATAAACACCTACCTTATCGTTTTATGCCTTATGGCTGCGATGTAATAGTTTCCTAAGGTTTTGTAAAAACCAGATACAATGTATTTAGGATTAAGAAAAGTTCAAAATGAAATAGGATCGAAATAGAAGAATATTTAATATTCCGGGTGATGATTGTTAGAAATGATAAACCAGATATTTATAAATCCCGTCCAGTTTGCAATTGATCAACATGAATATTCAGAGGCACTTGACAGCCTACATGTGTACCTACGATTTAAGGCTAAGTGTTGAAAGCTGAGACAACATTTTTAGATATTTAAAATAAATCAATTGTGTTTTAGGACCAACACTGTCCCATAATTCAAAACAAGCATACGTACACCACAATTTGTTGTAATGAGAGCAATGCCTGATGATCCAAAACTGCATCTTAAGATGGGGAGCAGCATCACCAGTCCAAGAATATCGGCTACGCTCTCAGCAACTTGCCTGTACTGCGTATTGAAGATGTAACTTTGCAGTTTTGCTTCACAACTAGCGCACACTTGTTTCTTGGAAATACATTAGTCCAGCAGAGGACGTAAAAAGCTGTTGGTGTGATGTGTGATTTAAACTATAGTAAAATTATATGAATAAATAGTATAGTCACAAAAACGTAGTACTCATGCATGTATTCCACAAAATACCTACTTTGTGTGGAACTGTACAAGACGATCATTTGCTATATCGCTCATGTCAGTTTTGCTGCCTTCTCGGATAACATCGGGATGTTTCTTCATCATCAACCAACCGACATGAGAGAAGAAGAAGCCTCGGCGAGCATCGTGAGGGTCAGCTGATGTCTCAGAGAATTTATGGTGGACCCTATGGTCACGCACCCAATTGTATATGTTGTTCTGTAAGTTTTAAGAAATGCTTTAGAGAACAATGAAGAAAATATTATAAATATTTTCTAGTAAATTTTATGGTATACCAAACCAACCAATGAAGTTAAACTAAATGAAAGAAGACGTTTTAAGTTATTCCTATAGAGAGAAGTAGCTTAAGTAAAGAGATTTTGAAACCTTGTGTTGGTTGTCGAATATTCAAAAGTTAGAACTTAATATTCTAACTTTTGAATATTAACCAAAAGTCAAGTCAACAAGTTCAAAAACGTGTTAATTGTTGTTCCCCCTCTTAAAAATATGCGAGATAGCTCATTCGATTCGGAGTACCGTCTAGAAAAATGTATCTCGAGGATTTATTAGCACATAAAAAATTGCAATTGTTATTAACAAAATAAGATGAAAGAAAAAATATATTTGGTATTTCTTTAATAACGCAAAATCTATTAATATTTAAGAACTTTTGAAGAAGAAATTTCCAATAAAAAAGTACTGATTTTCGGCATTCTATCTCCATTATTTATAATTTTTATTTAACGCCGAAAATAGGACTCGATCGTTACGGCTAAAGCGTATCCCCGCTGAAGACAGTATATCATAATATAATTTTTTTTATAGTGTTAAATATAAAATAAAAAAATTTAAAAGTTACAGTATCATCAGATTGAACACTTGAATAAATAAAACCCCGTCAGAAAAATAATTATGTAAATTTTTCAAAAAGTTTTTTTTTCTTTAAAACTTATAATTGGCACATCTCTATAGGTTAATATTTTTTTATATAAATAATTTCATTGTTTATATAAAAAAACAGTCTTATTGATAAGTGCAGCAGACTTCTTCTCATTTTGTAAGGGATTTTTGAGCAGGAACTCTCTTACCACGCTGGGCAGGAGATTTGATGAGCATAGTTTCGCACTGTTACTGCTGTTTTATTACCCGTCTGTGACATTTACGTCTGACATTTATGGGGTAGATTTCTCTTCGTCAGCGGCTCATAAACAGAGGGGTGCGCTTTGTGCAGGGTTTGGAGTAAAGGCTGGCATTTGTCTCTGACACTTCGTACTATGGAAATACATAGAATGATAATGAAGTATTTCGTTATTACGTAGAAGAAAGACAGATAGATAAATTTGTTCAATATACGTTTAGTGTGAAATATCTTAGTATAGGTAATAACACATTCTTTTTTATTTTCGTAATGTGCTAGGGGTGGTTACACAACTTCTTTTTATTTGTCAGTGTGATCGGATTGAATTATTTGTCAATGGGGTGGGCTATGTTCAGAAGTGGACTTATGAACGGCTGTTATGATGATGATGGAGATATTTATAAAAATATAAAATATACAGTATCTTAACATTTTCCAGACGAGATAATGCAGGTTTACACAAAAAGTGACGTGAGACATGAGACATCATTGTGCCATCAGAAAAGTTGGCACTTACCAGATTTGTGAGGAAAGCTGTACGAGATCTGAGGCACATGCAACCTTAACCAAGAGCCAATATAGAGTTTAATCGGAAGCTTGGGAGGAGTCACATCACGAAACTGAAGGTATGCGTTGGCGAAACTGTAAAGTCAAAGCCTGAAAATTTCACTGAGATCGAAGTCTACTCTAGTGGGTAAGATTTGTAATGTGGAAATCCTAGAACCAAGGCCACCGAAATAGTATTTCGTGTTTGCAAACTGAAATGGCAATGGGCTGGTCATGAAGTGACTAACGTTGTAGTAGACGTGTCATTGAACGGAGATCGCGCTTATCTGCTGCAGGCGACTGGCATCAACTGGATGTGTAAAGTCTAAGATCGGGCTAAGTGGCGCGGCTTGGCAGTGGCATAGTCTGGACATATGCCACTCCCAAGCCATGCTCCAACCTTTGAAGGATAACATTCACATGTTATCCTTCAGAGGTGAATAGAAAAAAATCATCAAAATCGATTTACAAATAACGAAGATATAACATTCCTACAAAAACATACAGTCGCCGTGAAGCGATACAATACCGTCACGGTTATAAATAAATAAAATAATTAAATATTTGTTGTGAAGTACCAATATTGGTAAAGTTTGTCATGTTAGCATTTCCCATTAAATGAACGATGGAGACAACAATATCCACTAAGAGAGAACAATCGGAACTATACTAATTTGATGATGAGTTATAAAATATATTAAATTCGTTAGTAGCCAGGCCAGCAAAAACGAAATTAAAAACTATACCCAATTTTTTTTAAATTTTGTCATTTTCAGGAATTTGATTCGTATGCGAAATGGAGAAACTCGAACTTCGTATGGTTACTAAATATATCTGCCTGAAAAAATTTTCTACAAAAAGTGTTTTGAAGAACTGCAGTCTACTTTGGTAGACAATGCTCCATCTTATTCATATATATAGTGGCATACTGGTGCGCTGAATTTAAACGTGGCAGAACCGCCTGCAATGACGGCACTGGCTCCGGTCGGCCAACTCGAAGAAATTTTAAGGTAGATGAAGAAAATGAGTCAATATTGCTTGTTGTGTTATTAACACCCACTGTACTTAAAGAACCTGGCATTGAGCGCTGATACTTATTTTGATGTTTTAATAAGGAGTCAAAACGTTCCTCGTTATATAATATTTACATGACTTTATCAGATTATCGATGGCCAGTATGTGTTCTTTTATCTCATTCTCTGCTGATTTAAATTTATTCGATATAATTTGTAATGAGGTTTGAAAAGATAAAATTTCTGAATTATGACAATTTTTCATGCGTTCCACCTCAACTGAATACAATTTAAGTTTGTTAAATAATTCTTGCTTTTCTTTATGTACATATTTTTATATAATTTTTAGACGTCATTTTGGTTTTATTTAATTTTTGCATTCTTGTAATATATTTATTAATTTTTATATATTTCCTTAATTTTTTACTTAATCTTCTACTGTTCTTCTGTTCTTTTCTGCTGTTCTTGATGTGACAGAATTATCACCAGTCAAATCTATTGATTTGCATTCTACAAGCTCATCCAACAGACTCTGAGTTTGGCATGCTTGCAAGTTATCTATAAATTTTTTAAATTGAAAATTTTGCTCATTAGCCTTACTTAACTGTAACTGCAATGCAGCAATTAATCTGAGGAATTCCTCATATTCTTTGTTGCATCGGTCAAAATCATCGGCTGTCTCCTGGAGCTGATCCCTTTTCTTTAAAATATCTGTATAGTCTCTATGCAACTTTACCATATCACTTTTTAATTGTGTATTTTTCGAAATTATACTTATTATTTCCTTTTCGTTGTCATCAACCCTTTCTTTAACCAACTGCTCACACTGCTCCTTGGACGTCTACAGTTCTTGGAGCTCAAGATGAAGTTGGTTCTCCATCTGGCGCGTCTTGGCGTTGCGAGTATTCATTTTACTATGTATTATAAATAGTAAAAGAAAACAAAGATGGAAAATCAAAGAAGCAAAGTAAGCAAATGTCTAAATGTAGGTAGGACTTTAACAGATCTCAAACCAAGGCCCTTTTTACTGGAAATGAGGCATTCCATCTTAGTCCTCACGGGTGATAACGCATCTACATTTTGATTTGTAACAGAGGATAGATGTAGATGTCTATGGGCCGCAGCAACCACTTACCATCAGGTGGACTGTGTGCTCGTGTTTGTCATCCTTATACTATAAAAAAAAATTATCATGAAAACAATTTAAAATGAAATCCGCAAACGACAACAATAACACTTTTGTGTTATATCGTAAATATAAAAGGGATAACAAGAACTACAGTAGCTTTATACTAACTTTGAAGCTTTAAACGAAGTTTGTTACCTGCTGTCACTTGTGTTGATACACAATACATTTATTTATTTAGATATTGACGACTTTTACAAACTACACAATACAAATTGGTCGTAACTCACAGCTAAAACTCAAGTTTAAAGGTGGAAATTGTCAAATTATAATATATAATTTTACGAAATTATTTGGGAGAAAATCATTAAACAATTTGTCACAGTGGTTGCCACAGACAAAAAAGAAAGGAAGAGGTGATATTTCAATGCTTAATTTAGCAACAATTAAAGAAGATCCAGATGATTTTTGCGTTCGTTTTGTAACCGTAGATGAAACGTGGGTACACCATTTTGACGCAGAGACGAAAAACCAAAGCAAGGCAAAATACCGCAAAATACCGTCTTTCCCGGCAGCCAAGAGATTCAAGGTGTCTTCGTCCGGTAGAAAAATAATTGCCTCTATCTTCTGGGATGCGGAAGGTTTGATAATGATCGACTATTTAAGTAAAGGAAAGACAATAATCGCAGATTTACCCATCATTGATCAAAAAACTAAGCGGATAACTACTAAAAAATAAACATCGAGAAAAATTGTGTGTTGGAGTACTTTTTCATCATGATAATGCCCCTGTTTATCGATCTGATGTTGCAGGTACTGCGAAATCCGTACAACTGGGTTTCATTTGATGCAGCCCCCACCATATTTTCCGGACAGAGCATAGAGTATTTTCACCATTTTACTCATCTGAAAAAGCACTTGTATGGTATAAAATTGGACGGCGACGATGAGGTCTGAGGTTGTTGCATTCTCGGCTCATAGGCATTTTTTTGTTTTAATTTATCAATTGAGCTTCGAAAAAATGGATTACATTTCTATCATGATTGTTTATTTTAGAATTAAGTCAACATGCAAATAGTTTTTATAAAAACTTCAACCAACTTATTCACAAACAAATTCTGTGTTAGGCCTCAGAATATCTCTATTGATTTGTTCGTCGTATGCTTAAGTAACAGGACTTACTGTTGATAATGTTAGAATAACTATACTACAACAAGTAGTGGAAGTTTAGTGTTCCAAAATAAAGAACCAGTCTGCAGTGATCTAACTAGTATATTTCATATAAAAAATATACATATTTGGAATATACTCATTATTGCACCTCATTTCATGAGTAATATGATTTTTTTTAATTTTTCGAGTCTGACTTCCAAGGGAATTAACTAAATTGCAAAACGCTATTTCATGTGTATTAGCTTAAAAAGCTTAAAGGCTAAATTACGTTGTAAAATAAATACAATTTACATAACTTATCCTACAGTTTCATCGCATTTCCAAAAAGTTTTTAATCAACCTATTTAAAAACAATTTTGACTTATAAAATATGTACCTGACCAGCAACGGAGTAGCAGATGATGAGGATTATACGAAGTGGCAGCGTGGCTTTATATGATCGATGCGTCCAGTAGCGGTGTACTCCTGCTGTTACTCCGAAACCGGCTACTTGACCCATCATGTAACCTGTGATAATATAAAGCAATTAAAAATAACATGAGATAACAAGTCGTGTTGTAGCGGCATCAGAGGACCAATCACGTCGTTGTCGTTAGAATATATAAATTAAATCAAAAAGGCATACTTAATTTTAGGGTAGAGATGACGTTACATGTGTAAAGTTTTTTTTTCAAGAATAGAATAGAATAATTTTTTATTCAACATAGATCACATGTGTAATTCTCATTGAAAGTCATTTTTTACTTTACCACTGGTTCGAACAAAAACCCTCTGTCCTGGGAAGAACCAGCAAGAAACCCAGGGGGACTTTTTTTTTAAAAGCTATTTTACATTAATGGTTGGTACAAAATTTATTTTAGAAACATGTTGGAAGCGACCACCCTATTCCCAGGGGTTATTATCAACCATATGTTCATTTATACTATAATAACCCTTTTTATACAGTTTCAACTTAACAAAACATTGAAACTTGGTAATAGAGAGAGCCTGTACACTTTCCGGGACCCTGTTGTAATAGCGTATACATTGCCCCAAGAATGAATTACTGACTCTGTGGAGTCGAGAAACTGGTATCACTAGCTTGTGTTTGTTCCTAGTGTTTACAGAATGTATATCACTTTTTTTACTAAAACTACCTTTGTTTTTGTGAATTTCCAAACTGATACGACTTAGGGACCTTCAAGAAAAAAGCCTACTCCTTTTTAAAAGGCCGGCAACGCATGTGCGATTCCCCTGATTCCCCTGCTGTTGCAGTTGTTCATGGGCGGCGGTAGTCCTATAAAAAAGTGCATTGCATCGAGTCTTTTCAGTTCTACCGCTAATGGTAGAATAGAATTATATGTTTTTTTCTTAAATATATTAAATATTTATTATATCAATCAATTATTTATTATAAATATTAAATTTTCCTTAAAAATATCTTTATTAATTAATTTTATTAATTTCATTTATTAATTTAGGGAAAAGGGTTTTTCCCTAAATTAATTATCATTAATTTTCTTATTATAAATAAATTATTTATTATTAGATAAATTTTTATGATAATAAGATTAATTATATTATGTTTTTACATCGAATTATATATTTATGCATTATATTTAATTATTTAAAAATAAAATGATTTAATTTTTTTATAAAAATTATTTATTATTAATTATAAGTATTTTTAGAATAATTTCTTTGTTAGGCATAATAATTACAACCTTTATATTTATATAGCTGACCCGTGCCCACTTGGTTGGCCGTCCAACATATTTACTTGTGATGAAATTATCTTGTACTGAGTGTTTAGGATTTATTTTCGGAGTTGATTGGCGAATATTATTATTTCACATAAAAAAATATTATTAATCACAATCAAATATAGCCTATGTCACTCAGCAATAATGTAGCTTTCTACTCGTGAAAGGATTTTTAAAAGTTGTTCAGTCCAGATATTACAAAAATTATCCTACAAACAAACTAACAAACTTTACCTCTTTATAATATTAGTATAGATAAAGGTTTTAAGTGATACAAACTAATAATCTTTTGCCTTTGTTTTGTAACAAAGGCTATTCCAACAATTTACCTATACTCTCACGTTCTTTTGCACTGTCGCAACGTGGAATATTAGAACAATAAAAAATTTGGCTTTTAATAAAAATAGTAAAGCTAACTTCAAAGAATTGAACAGATTAAAATATTTTCACATTGTGCAATAGCAAACGTAGTGTATAGATGAATTCACAGGACTTAAAGCCTCGATTTCAGAATGTGAGCTTATATTATTATTTAGTATCCTCATAATATACCTTGTTGGCATAGAACTATGCTTGTTGGCTTTTAATTCAAAGTTCCTTTTTTGCCGTTTGAGTGGACTAAAGAATATTACAAGTTTTGCTTTAATTGTAATATTATTTGTTTGTTAGAGCTTCCGATTACCATTTAAATTATGTTTAATAATAATAATTAATATAATTACTTTACTTACCAAATACGAATGTTTGCCACTTCGGTATTAGACCTCGTGATATATAATAAATAACAGCTAATATAGTTATAATGTGATAGGAGACTATTGGTATTACGCTGGTCCATCGGATCGCTGTCACAAAGCCCATTTTCTTCTCCCATTCTCTTAGTGGTGCTAAAAACTTAGGTTCCTTGGGACGGGTTTCTTCGTAAACACATGAATCTTTAGTGTTATTATTAAAGCGGTCGCCACAGAGCGTACGTCTCTTCAGTTCATATTTTTTTCTAAATCTGTTATCACATACTTGCTTTTCTATTACTGACGTCTCTGTGACAGTCGAAGCAGCCATTGTTCTGTTGACAAAGAGCATAATATAATCATTACGTTTATTAATCTTCAAATGAAGAAGTATGTTATAAGCACATAATATATTATGGTTTCTACAATTATAAAATAATCGATTCCAGCTCTAAGTAACCAAAATATAGCCGACTCGTAGGAACTAAAATTAATGGACTGTATCAGCGATGATCAAAGGAACCAAAACAAAATGGTGGATGCGGCGGTGTGCTATACATTTAACATACTTTGGACAGTATACTTTCAGTAAAATTGATTTAATTAATTGGCTGACACGAAGGGAGATAAGTTGCTGCGGACTAAGGAAAAACAAATAAAACAGTCCATTAAAATCCTTTAATGGGATATCTTATTTGTTGTTCTCAAGGTACTGTGTTTTACCCATAGCGGTAAAACTTATTACAAAGCGGCCTGTCTTGCGTAGCAATAGAACAGTTCTGATTTGTTTTCAATAAAGTCATGTGCACCAAATAAACTTGCAACGATTAAATTCCAACGAAAAAATCTAGTCAATTAAATACACTTAAAAATACAAAATGCGCGCTGGCGATGATGACTGGTAATGGATTTGCGCGACCATATTATAAGTATTAAAATTTTAATTCAATCTATTCTACATTTTCTTTACATGAAGTTTGCTCCTTATGAATTATCCATTTAGTTAAAATTCATTTCAATACTTCATTTGTTTTATTTAACCGCTTTTGCCCGCAACTTCTCTGCCTAGAACTTAAACACAAATAAACTGGAACACAAGGATTACTTAAAGTTTAGGTATAAAGTTTTGTGAGTGCCCTCCTGATGACGCCTTTCTTCGTTACAAGATTGACTAATAGGTACTCTTGACGCTTCGTTTCCTCATCGGAAGGTGGTTGTCTCCCTAACGACTAGTTCTCCTAATCTGATTTCTTAGCCTTGAGTATGCCATTAATCTCTCTTCTGTAACTCTGCCAGATACCTACTTACCTATTTAAATACTTCAGATGCTTTTTAATCGAGTACAAAAAAAATGCGTGAGTGTCGTGGAACACTCGGTTAGAATGAAGTTCCTTGCGTAGTATATTATTATTGATAAACGTAGGAATTATATTATTGATTAACAAATACAAATTAATGAATTACTAGCGTCTATTAAAATGAAGCGTTATTTGAAATAAAATAATATTTCTTTCATGGCAAGATAAGAAAAAGTGCGAGGGTGATGGATATTATTCCATCTCACTTCCTTATTTCGCCGCCAAGGCCGTCTACACTATGACACAAGGGGTAGTGACGAAAAAATCTTACACTTTTTGTCGCCTAGCTCTCATTCGCCAAACCCGTGCCGTCCGATAAGGAACTTCGTTTCAAAACGAGGAGATTTTAAATTCCACTCGTATATTTTTATATATGTTTACCAATTTAGTGGAAATAGCTAAACTAATTTATATCAATCTTTTTCATTGAATAAGTTATACTCCAGGGGTGGTTCTATATTTTTTTTATTTGGTGAGTTAAATTTGCGATGAACATTTTAATGTTACTCCATATTTACATTAATTTCTAATTGTTACATTGAACTTGTGACATTCGTCCCAGCAATAATTTTTTTTTATAGAAGAGGGGGCGATAGTAAGTGACTCCTACTACCCAAGAACAAAAGCAAATCCAAAGGAAGTAGGTTCATTGCCGTTTATTAAGAAAGGAGTAGGCTATTTCTTTCTTTTTCTACAGGTCTCTCAGCCGCATCGGCCCGGAAAAATTGCTAGTGTTAGCCGATTCCATAAAGAAGTCATGCGAGAAAGGAGACTTCTGGTAGGTAAATGATCAGTTCAGATGGTGTGGATGGTATAAATTTTGTCGCGACGTGCAAAAGTGAAATTTGTGCAGTTTTAGAGTATTTCAGTCAAGAATAGATTTAGGTCTCTATTGGTTAAGCATCCACTTATCATCAGATAGATCTATGACTGTGCTCACTTGTCACGTTAGTTAGTTTACTTTTAATTACATTTAAATGAAAACCAAACCCACCCATGACGAACAAGCATATGGAATAAACGCGTATTTAACGAGTAGAAATTAGTTATTTAAGCCATCTAAACTCCTTGAAAAATCCTAGTAACTTCTTAATATCGCTAAAGATCTCAGGAAGCGATCCCTTGTCGTCTTAGTTAAATGAAAAACAAAAGTTGAAGTTGAGTTGAAAGACAGTTGCGTTGGTGCCTCGAGGTTTGAGACGAAATGCCTCAAAATAAATAAATCAATAATAAAACACACTGTCTTAGCGAATAAAACGCATACAGATGATAAACAAAAAGTTGAATATGAAAATGTAATCGTCGCATATAATATATCGAATATTATATATATACGTGGTAGAGCCATGCTGCAGCCAGGGCCGGCCCGAGGCAAGTTTTAGGATGGAGCGAAACCCAATTATGGCGCCCCCCCTTGCTTGCCCCTAATATATACCAGGTGTATATATGGACACATGAAACTGGGAATATCTAGACAACATCTTAAGTCTATGTCTAATTTGTCGATTAAAAACAGCCATGCTCATGGTATTTTAATTACTGCACTCCTTACGGTATCTATAGGAACCGTTGATGTAGAATGAAAAAACAAAATTAAAAAGGAATTTAAATAAATCATAACAACAATAGATAATAAAACAAAATTAAGTCAACATTCATTGATAAGATCATTGAGTTATATGTACTACGTACTAGAGAAGCCATTCCAAACAAAAATTGTGTCTTACTCTATGTCTTCGCGCATGCTCGGGAGTAGTAGTCGCGCATGCGCGAAGACATTAATATAAAATATGATATTAATATAAAATAAATATAAGAATTTAATATAAAATATCTTAATTTAATCTAAACAAACATAATTCTAAATAAAATGTAATAATAATTATTTTATGGAATTCACAAATCTTCAATTTACGCAATATTTAGTTTGTATGGATTGCACTACAGTTCAGTTGAACAAAGTCAATGTTCGGAATGGCTTCTCTAGTACGTAGTACATATAACTCAATGGATAAGATCAATAAGCATTAATCAACTTTAGAACTAGTACTTATACTGTTATATGTTTACTAATTAATGTAACAGTGCTTATTAAAAACAAACTCTTCAGGTTTAGCCTACTGGCTTCTAATAATAATATAATTAAACCATTGAATGTCGGAAAAATTAAAGCAATAGCATAACAATAGCAATTACGACACATGTGTGTCCTTAAAACACTCAATGGGTTAATAATAAACTATTTAAATGGAGAACAAATTTTAATTAAATCGCTGCGTACGCACTTTTGCATGTACAAATTTTTATATGAACTCCTCATACGATAATGTTTGAGCTATATCATTTTCGATTGACAGCAAGGCTAGATCAGAAAGCTTATCTTCTGCGAGAATCGACCTCAGCTATGTGTACTTAGCTTAAGCTTGCTAAAACTGCGTTCATCTTTGGCCACCGTAATCGGAATAGTTACAAAAATCCGGAGAGCTGTCCAAATAATAGGTCTATAAATCAAAATAATTTTTGGTTGACTGAGAATTATAATTTCAAATTACTGTTATTTTAAAAACATGGAATCATCATCATCATCATTCATCATTACAGCCCTTCACAAGTCCACTGCTGAACATAGGCCTCCCCCAAAGAATGCCACAAAGCACGGTCCTGAGCCACCTGCATCCATCGACTTCCTGCATGTCTTACCAGGTCGTCACTCCATCTCGTGGGGGGACGCCCTACACTTCGCCTACCGGTACGAGGCTGCCACTCGAGAACCTTTCTTCCCCATCGGTTGTCGGTTCTTCGAGCTATATGGCCGGCCCACTGCCACTTCAACTTACTAATCCGTTGGGCTATGTCGGTTACTCTGGTTCTACTGCGGATATCCTCATTCCTAAGTTTATCACGCAGAGAAACTCCGAGCATAGCCCTCTCCATAGCTCGCTGAGCGACCTTTAGCTTCCTCATACGGCCAGCAGTGAAGGACCACGTCTCAGTTCCATAAGTCATCACTGGCAACACGCACTGGTTGTACAATTTCGTTTTCAGGTTTTGAGGTATGTCTGACGAGAAGATGTGTCGTAGCTTCCCGAACGCTGCCCAGCCGAGTTGAATCCGTCGATTGACCTCTCGGTCGAAGTTGGACTTACCTAGTCGGACTATTTGTCCCAGGTAAACATACTCGTCAACAACTTCGAGCTTAGTGCTCCCAACAACTACCGGCATAGGTGTGACATGGACATTAAACATGATCTTTGTTTTGTCCATGTTCATCTTAAGACCTATCCGTTGGGAAACACTATCGAGGTCATTGAGCATAGTGCTTAGGTCCTCCAGCGATTCTGCCATAAGGACTATATCGTCGGCAAATCGAAGGTGAGTGATGTACTCGCCATTGATGTTGATACCGTATCCTTTCCAGTCCAGAAGCTTGAAAACGTCTTCCAATGCAGCGGTGAAGAGTTTCGGGGATATGACGTCACCCTGTCTTACACCTCTCTGCAATTGGATAGGTTTCGTACTCTGGTTCTGTACTCGGATAGCCATCGTAGCCCTACTGTACAAGCACTTCAACACTTCGATATACCGACAGTCAACTTGGCACCGCTGAAGGGACTGCAGCACCGCCCAAATTTCGACGGAATCAAAGGCTTTTTCATAGTCCACATACGCCAGACATAGTGGCAAATTGTACTCTTCGGACTTCTGTACACTTTGCCGAAGGGTATGTATGTGGTCTATGGTGCTAAAGCCCTTTCGGAAACCGGCTTGTTCGGGAGGCTGGAAGTCGTCAAGTCTGCGCGCGAGACGATTCGTAATGACTCTCGAAAACAGCACGTAGACGCGGCTCAGAAGGGAAATCGGTCTGTAGTTCTTCAAGAGAGCGTTGTCACCTTTCTTGAAGAACAAGACCACCGCACTTCTGCTCCACGCCACCGGTGTAATGCCACCATGGAGGACGGAATTAAAGAGCTTC